AAAGCTCTTCTCTGCAGTTTCAGTCCATTTGAAAATATTATGCTTCATACAATCAGTCAAGGGCGCCATAATGGAGCTGAAATTTCTGATAAATCTTCTGTAGAATGAAGCTAAGCCATGGAAACTTCGCACCTCATGGACAGATTGTGGTATAGGCCACTCTTGTATTGCTTCAATTTTTTTTGTATCCATTTTAATACCTTCTGATGATATCACATACCCAAGAAAAATTAAGCTATCTGTCAAAAATTCACACTTCTTCAAATTGGCAAAGAGTTGCTGCTCCCGTAAAACTTCAAAGATTTGTCTCAAGTGCTCCATGTGTTGAACAACATTATGACTATAAACCAGAATATCGTCAAAGTAAACAACTACAAACTTTCCAATAAAAGGACGAAATACCTGGTTCATGAGTCTCATAAATGTGCTGGGAGCATTTGTCAATCCGAATGGCATCACCAACCATTCAAATAAGCCATCCCGAGTTTTAAAGGCTGTCTTCCATTCGTCACCGGGCCTCATTCGTATTTGGTGGTATCCACTCCTTAAGTCTATTTTCGAAAATATTTTTGCTCCCGACAAGTGATCCAACATATCATCGAGACGAGGAATTGGAAATCTGTACTTCACGGTGATCTTATTTATTGCCCGACTGTCGACGCACATACGCCAAGTCCCATCTTTTTTGGGTGCAAGCAATGCAGGTACTGCACACGGGCTCATGCTCTCTCGGATAACCCCTTTCTTCAACAATTCTGTCACTTGCCTATTTAGCTCCTCGTACTCTAATGGGCTCATCCGATAATGAGCTTTATTTGGGAGAGTTGAACCTGGAATCAAATCTATGCAATGCTGGATATCTCGCATAGGAGGTAGCCCCGCGGGTAATTCTTCAGGAATAACATCATTGAATTCCTGCAAGAGAGGTGTTAATTCTTTAGGAAAATTAAGAACATCTGGATTTGACTCTTTCACCATCAACATGTACATATCGCCACTCTCCTCCGCTTCTTTTAGGAATTCTCCTTTGGTTAGAAAGCTTCCAGCACCAATTTTCGTGGATTTGACATTAAATTCGGATTGGGAGGGGCCTAAAATAACCTTCGTACCATCTTTGATGAAGGTATATGTATTTTTGTATCCGTCATGTGTGGCCTGGCGATCAAATTGCCAAGGTCTCCCCAATAGTATGTGGCACGCATCCATTGGAATTACATCACACCATTGAGAATCCTGATACTTTTGCCCAATGGAGAATGTCACTAGGCAGCGTTGATTCACCACGACTTCATTCCCTTTTTTGACCCAAGACAGCTTGTACGAGACTGGCTTCTTTTCAGTCTTCAAATTCAGTTTATCAACCATCTCCTGTGAAACAATGTTTTCACAACTACCACTATCAATAATAACACTACATACCTTTCCATGAGAGGTACACTTGGTATGGAATATATTATTCCGAAGCCAATCTGAGGTCTCCTCCACCTTGGCAGCATTCATTATCCTTCGAATCACCAAGGACTCTCCATGGTCACTCCATGTGATCTCTTCTTCTTCATTGTCCCCATAATTATCAAATATAGGTAGCATATCTTTTGACATACCACTAGATTCGCCCAATTCCTCAACCAAACTTACAATTTTTCGGTTAGGACATTCAGAAGCAATATGTCCTATGCCAGAACATTTGAAACACTTGATCCCTTTTGGTTTGCTGGCAGTAAACTTCTCTGGTGCATTGGTCTTAGGTGCTTCATGCTTCCCTGGCTCAGAATTTGATGAGCCTTTAGTCATCCAAGAATTTTTGTGCTCAGAACCCTCTATTCCAACACGCCGTGACCGTGTCTTCATCTGTTTCTCTACTTGTATGGCTAACTTGAAGACATCATCATAACTCCAGTATTGCTGTAAGACCACCACATCATGAAGTTCTCTACGCATCCCTCCAAGATAACGTGCAACTGTGTGTTCTTCTTCTTCGACGAGTCCACACCTCATGGTTAAGAGATCGAATTCTTCAGTATATTCCTCAATAGTCCGATTTCCCTGTCGCACATTATGAAGTTTCAGGAAGTTTGCTTGAAGGTAGTTTTCTGGCAAAAATTTTCTCCTTAGCTCTTTCTTCATTTTCTCCCAGCTTTTAATTTTGGATTTTCCGGTACGATCACGCCGAGTCTTTAGCTGCTCCCACCATGCAGAGGCATTCCTCTTCAATTTAATGGCTACGATCTTAACTTTCTTCTCGTCCGGCACCTCTTTGTAGTCAAATATACGCTCAACAGTATTGAGCCAATCAACAAAGTCATCAGGTTGCATCTTTCCCTCGAACTCAGGTAAATCTACTTTCATGTCGAAATTTCGACCATAATGATCCCGTCCCCTTTGCACACCTTCCATCGGCATGTTGTTGTAAAAGGGATTTTCGTCTCCCTCCCCGTCGGAACTCTCACCACCATGGCTTTGAGTCTCGATGCGAGCGACACGATCAGTGAGTTGTTGAATCATTCTTTTAATTTCATCCATGTCGTCTGTAGAGTTAC